GAGATCTTTGTTATAAAGGGAAAAGATGGAATACAGAACAATTAGAACTCAAATATAGTTTTCAAATTCCTTGGTTTCATGCCCAACAGATTCATCATATGATAAAAATCAATGATAGGTGTTGGTTACTAATCGCCCCTTAACAGTCTTCGAGTCATTGGTGGAGAAAGATGGACAAGTTTACAGAGGAACTATCTCAAAACTATATAAATCATTAGCTTATGAACAGTGGTCATTCATTGCTTTCAACTCAGCAAAAGGCATGGCATAAGGACTGTGGTATCTCATTAACTCCTATCCAATGGGCTAAAATCTGGTCATCTAGTTTGTCACTAAATCTTTGAATATTAGACTACAAAACTACAAACTATTTGCCCGTTGGTACATCACACCTCTAACACTTTATCACTCAGGATCTAGGAGGGACTCAAAGTGCTGGAAGGGTTGTGATCAAATCAGCACATTCACAGAGTGGTCATTCATATTTTGGATTGATAGGCATCCCTTTATAGTATCTGTTAACCCAAACCCTATGTCTTCATTTTAAAAAAACAAACCCATAAATATATGTATCATTATCTCCCCCCCCCCTTCACACACCCCTCTTCCCACATGGCTAACTATGAGATCTTTTGGAGCAATGGACAAACTAGCTACACAACTGTTATTGTCAGAAAACTCAAATGAGAAGGATTGTTTTGTGAAAAAATGGTTTAGATTCTTTCAATATATCGCAAATAAGAATGATACTGTTTGTGCCTTACCTGATAAATATGTTGAATTTATATTTTACTTAAAAATGTATTTGTTAGTTGTTAATGTTATTTGAAAAAATTAAAAAATAAAGTTATTAAAAATCTTTATTCAAACAAATGCACAACAAAAGGACATCAAGCTGCGTCCCAGGAAATCATGAGCTGAACAACATCTGGGAAGTTGAAATCTATTCTGAAAGTAAGCCATCTTGGATAATGAATTAATTGCTACTGGCACTTTGTGAATTTGTATCTGTTTTTAACTGTTGTGTTTTATATGATTGTATGTTTTAATTGTATTTATGCTTGAGTGGAAGCCGCCCTGAGCCTGCTTTGTGGGGAGGGCGGGGTATAAATGAGACATAAATAAATAAATAAAATAAAATATAAAATACAAAAATGCATGAAATACATAACCATCCCTTTTCCCTTTACAACCATGGGCATTGACTTCCTTTATCAGCATACGGCATTAATGCAGTCTATTCTATTGCAAGTTTCATCCTATGCATGGCCCCTGACCATTGTAGGTCTGATACGAGTGTGTCCCTTTTTTCTGATATGCTGCCTTGGGGCATCTTAAAGACAAACTCATTTATTTTGATAACAGCTTTTCTGCGAATGGCCCATCCTGGCACCTCACTGTGCCTCCGCCAGCCAGCCCAGCCACCTCGCTGCTGCTGGAAGAGCCAAGAAGGCAGGTGGGCAGGGTAGCAGCCAACCAGCAGAAATCAGCATCATGTCAGGCTCTTGGCATGTGGCTCTTAGCCTGGGGATCAGGCCTGCGGATTCTGCATCACTCTAGATACCTTTAAACCACTACCCAGTTATAAAGGTAGAAAGCCAGCAGGGGAGTGGAGGCTATCCAGTGTTTTGCAGACGGTGCCATATGTGGAAGTCATGGGTATGTGCTCACTGCATGGAGCTTGTGGGACTCATGGAGCAGGTTCATTCCCCTGAGACTAGCGTTGCCGACCTGGAGAAGCTGAGGCAGAGAGAGAGGTTTGAGGAAGAGACCTTCAGGGATTTACCAGAACAGTCCCACTCCTGTGATGACAGCAGTTGTGGAGAGTGCTGTTCTGCTGTTGTGGAGAGTGAGAGTTTTGGGCCCCTTTCAAACAGGCTTTGTATTCCATTTTAGTAACTGGTTGCTAATGGATCTTTTCTGTCCCCATCAGGAATGAATCAAGCCTTACCAGCAGAGCTTCCAACATGAATTTCCTCAAAATCAAGGAGGCTGAAACAATTTGAACATTTCCACCTGTCAATAAAGCATTGACAATAGAGCAGCCAGCATAAATTTTCTCACAATCAAGGAGGCTGACAACAATGTTATAATTACCATTTGTCAATAAAGCACTGACATTTTATTTGTGTCGTTTTTGAGGGAAACTGCTTTCTTCCATTACTTACCCCTTCATTACGCTTCTGAATTGCTGTGGGGTGCTGTTTAAAATGTCCATAGCCACTTCCCCCTGCCCTTTTTCGCCACATGATCTTCAGACTTTTAAAAAGCATTCTAAGTTGAGCACTATAACACTATACCAATATAGCACTTCAGTGCTGCAGAGGCACCACTGAGATGCCTTGACTCAATGGTGCCGCTACAGCACTGAAGTGCTATATTGGTTTAGCGTTACAGTGCTCAACTTAGAATGCTAAAAAAAGAGTCTGAGGAAGATCACATGGCGAAAAAGGGCGGGGGGAAAGTGGCGCTTCAGAGATGGCTAATTAATGGAAGGAAATTCACTGTATGAAACCCATCCCTGTATCTCTTTACTCGAAATCCAGCCAACAACAAATAACATCCAGTTTACAATTGTAATGTAAAAAGGGCCTTGAGTTCAGAGGGCGTCAGTCTGAGGAGTAGGGATGTGATCTCTTAGAAGTGACCCCCTTCCTTGGGTAACAAATTAATATCCTCTCATACCAAGGATCCCCCTGGGGGGACGGGGGGAGGTGGGCTTCTGGTAGTGGGTGATTTGATCATTAGGAATATAGAGTATGGCCTGTGACAGGCATTTTGGCTGCATGGTGACTTGCCTGCCTGGTGCGAAGGTTGCGGACCTCATGAGCTGTCTAGACAGGTAGATAGATACTGCTGGGGAGGAGTCAGCAGTCATGGTGCATGTTGGTACCAATGACATTGGGAAATGTAGTCATGTGATCCTGGAGGAAAAATTTAGGTTACTAGGCAGAAAGTTAAAATCCAGGACCTCAAAAGTAGCATTCTCAGAAGCGCTGTCAGTTCCACTTGCAGCGCCAGCTGGACAGGCACAGATCAGGGGTCTTAATATGTGGATGAGAAAGTGGTGCTGGGAGGAACAATTTAGATTTGTTAGGCACTGGGGAACTTTCTTGGACAAGCTGAACCTCTACACTTGAACCAAAAGGGAACCACGGTGCTGGCAATTAATCTCAAAAAAGGTGGTAGAACAGCTTTTAAACTAATCCGGGGAGGGGGGAGCGAACAGGAGCTGGAGGGCCTCTCGTTTAGGACAAGTCAGTCCAAAGAGTAATCAGTGCAGTTGATACAGCACTGGAGTTTTATATTCCAAGTGGCTGACCCCAAAGCTTCACCCTCAGGCACTTGACCAGAGTCTCAAGATACTGGCCCTGGACTGTCATGGCTGCTTCTGGAGGCTTACATTATGAAATATAAAGATGGATGTCATCTGCATATTAGTGACAACCTAGTCCAAAATTCCAGGTGATTTTGATGAAAGGTCTTACATACAAGTTAGAGCATTGAGGATAAAATGGAGGCTTGGCGTATAGATGATTTTGTCATTCCTATGGAAACTCTTCACTTTCTGCCAAAAGAACAAAAACAAAGATGGGCTGTCCCTTTCGCCCCAAACATTGATTCAGCTGATACACCAAAATATCATGGTTGATTGTATCAAATGCCGCTGATAGGTTTAACAGTATCAACAATAATGATTGTTCTTATCCAACTGTAGACAATGTGTGTTCCACAAATCGAGCGATTAAAAATGCATAGAATGGTCCCTAACTATCCCTTAATGGGATACTTAACTGCAAGTATATTCTATTGTTGTTCAGGATCTTAAAATGACCAATAATGCCCCTCAAATTCTAACTGCTACAACTTTCTCCTCAGTTATTAAGTAAGATATTCCCAAAGTGTATCAGAGAACTATGTAAAAGACAAATATATTGTGGTTATGAACTGGAATCTAATTTAAGTGACAAAGGCACTTTTAATTGTTGTTGCACAAAAGAGGGCTGTATGACAATCATGGATTTTGCTGAAATTTTGCATCATTGTTTGACCAAAACATCATGATGTAGCCATATATGTAGCCATCTGCCTTCCTTGTATATCTGAAGCCACGGGGTGGGGGTGGGGGGCTTGACAATATCTCATTTGGGGTTACTGCAATTTAAATAAAATTATGTATATATTTATGTATTTAGGGTAGTGATACAAAAGTCTGTTTATTATGAGAAATAATTGAAAAATGGAACTGTTGTCAAATACCAAATTTTAAAAAATTGATTTATGACAGTTGCATCCTAATTCTGGGTCTTACTAAAATTCTGCAGTTATTATCTATTGTGAAACATATCTACAGTCAATTTTTTAAAATGTATGATTGGGGATGAAGCTCTACCACTTCAAAAATTTGTTTCCAAGTTACTTTTTCTGTAAACACGTTTTCATTCTTCTTGAATGAAATCTACTCTATGACAACAGTCATTAAGGGCTCATTTTAAAGTCTAGATTTTTTTAAAAAATACATACAAGTGCTGTGCACCAAAATTAGCAGAAATGCAGATATAATCAATGGCACAACAATTAAGAAGTTTCCAAGTTTCCATCCTCATTTTCTGCTGCTTACACCTAGATCCACTGTGCCAGGTCCTACTATGTTCAAAATGCACTTGTTTAGTAATTTAGGATACATCTAGCAACTTCAAAAAGCACTGGCTTGGATCCATCTGTGATTTCAGTCTGCGGAGTGCGACTTCCTCACTTCCCCTTCCTGCAGCACCCCAAAGGGTAATTATTTCCATGTGCAGAGCCTAACTCAGCAAGAATAATTTTTGTAGGATTTCATTCATATTGATCCCTGTGTTAATGTCAGTGTAAAAGGAATATTCCCAGAATAAGAGAAGCACTCTACTGAGGTTTCAGTGAAATTTAATAGATTTATACAGGTTAATCCAACTGCATGATAAACCCTTCAGTAAAATTTAACTTAACCATTTTCATTCTGGTTCCACTAAAGCTAGTACAAAGGATCAGAGCCAAGGTTCACTGTGCATACTTACCTTGTCGTATGCATAGTATGACACTTACAGTGATTTGTTAAATAAAGTCAAACAAGTACAAAGTAAAATAAAGACTGCAATCCCAAACAAATTTACCAAGTAATAAATCCCATCCAGTGCATTAAGATTTACTTAGTAAATACAACCTGGAGCAAGCTTAAAGTTAAGTCAGTTAATAGTGTTTTTTTCCTTCTAACAAAATATTTTTCAGCCCACTTTTGTAAGGAAAAATAAACCACAAGTGTAAGGACTTGAGGAGTGAGAAGACCTGGAATCAAAAGTATATTTGAGAAGTCTCTCTCTTTGAATTTTCAATAGACTGGAAAATGAAAGGTTTCTCCAGTTAAAATCTCAAGTATTAGTTACATAAACATACCTACCTCAATTTCCTAGAATATTTCAGTCACCCCAATTTCCCTTCCATCGCTGGCAAAGGGACTTCTGTCCAGAAAGTCATCCATTTTGAGTAATATGAACAGTGTATGATGAGCATGCTTGTTCAAGATTGACCTGTCCAAGTTTGGCTGGTTTTTCATTGTCATGTCTCATAGTCACTTCAGTCTCACTGAACAAGAAAGTCAACATTTTCTACCAGAAGCCATTGCACTGCTCCATTTTTTTAAAACAAAGGAAGATGTCAGTGCTATTCCAGACTCTTAGTAGCCCAGCACAATAATCTGTTTAGCAACTCTGGCCAGTTTTACAAACCTCTCTCCAGCAAAGCAACCTGACCATGTTATCTGCTCCTTTAAACTATTCACTACCTGCACTGAAATTTATTTCAGGAAACCAAATTGCTCAGAAGTGAGTGGAAACGATGCTGTTAAAAGTGACCAGAATGCGAATTGTCTTGCAGTGAAAACTGATAAGAAGCCATACAGAAGCATTTTGATTAAAAAAACCAAACAAACTCATGATACCAACTTAGTATCAGAAGGAGTACTTCCCAGTTTTGAATTCTCGTTCATTTTCAGATGGGCTATGGAGAAGATTAATACATTGCCAATTCAAAGCTGGAGGTCCGGTTTACCACTGTGTCTATTACATACATCATGAAATTGGCTTGTCAAGTCATCTTGGAACAAACCTGGATTGTTAACTTAACCATTCAGAAAAGTATTGCCCTGATACAGAAGTAAATGTGATTTATAGGAAAGAAGAAAAAATCATGCCAATTTGCCTCACCTTTTAGGGCCAATATCATATTGGAAAACACATATCTGTTCCACTAATGGTGGTGCCTCCCCCCAGCATAAGCAGCCTTCCCCTAACAAAAGTGGCAGAGCATCTTGCACCAGGAAAAACTCCTGGCTCCAGAAGGAGCTGCTGTAGAGGAACAGACCTGTGGGATTCAACCTGTACAGTCTCAGGCAAATACTACAGGCTGACTGCAGAATGGTAAGTGATAAACGGGACAACATACAGCAGCAATTTTAAAGTAAGAACCACAGAAAAAGATTTACATGTGATTTTTACCAACCACTCTGGTTCCAACCATTCTACTAAAGGCTGGAGATCTGGATTTAAGCACGTGGATCTGTTGCCATTATGTTTAATTTGAGCCTAAGTGAGATTTACTTGGCAGGGAAAAGAGCAGTGATGCAGCTTAAGTCTAGAGAAAGAGTGATTGTATGTCAGTCCTGGCAAACCATTACAGTGATATGAACCAGAACAAAAGGAGGAATTCTCAAAGTTCAGACAAATGCAGTAAGAAGAATGTTCATCTCTGCAAAGAGGACCAAGTGACTTGGCAGAACAATCTGCTTGGAACTATAATGAAGTGGCTTTTCTGTCAGTCAATTAATTCCATACAAAGCCAATCAGTAGAAGCATTAAAATCCTCCCCCACCCAACAGTTTACCCATTATTAGCCCAAATTTTCTATGAAATTCTCCCCAACAAAAACTGAGTTTAAGAAGGAAAATCCTCATAGTATGCTTAGAGACTCTTAGAGAACAGCATCTTTCATTTGAACTTGCCAGATGCCACTGTGACAGCATATCAAAATGGATTCTTCAGCCTGAGGGTATGAATTTAAACATAGAGCTGTCTAAAGAAACTGTGAGCACTGCTGCTTCTGTCAAGAAGAACCTGATGCTGTGCCTTCTTGATTCTAAAATTCATCCAAGCCTGAGATCCTAAAACTGATAGTAGCTAACTGAATCTAGCCATCCAACATTAAATGAACCAAGCAGAGCATTAGGGACAATAACACTGCTCACTATCTCTCTTCCAGGTTTGAACAGCAAATTACCTGGATATGGTCAGCAACAGCGTTCTACTACATCACTACTGAATGGCTACCTACAATATTACTGGTAAGCACAATCCAATCGCTTTGATAACCAGATGTATCAAAGTTCCTGTTTGTCTCCATCGAGCACAGCAGAGTCAGATGTAGCAGGACCTTTATTTGTTTCCACAAACACAGACTCAAAGGCAGCTTCTTGCTCTTCTAACGTGTCAGCAGCTGTAACTCCTTGAACTGAAGTTGTGTTGGTAAACGCTGGCTGATGCTCAGTAATCTTCTCCAACTCTGAGGTTCTCGTACCTTTCCTTTTGCCAAGTATCCTGACATAATTAGCTGGTACAAGTCCTGTTGTCTGGCCATCACGGCTAGCCAAAAGCCAACCACGTATTTTGGGTTGCCGTTCTGGTAAGGAAAAAGGAACTTCAAGTTACAGAGAACTCATGCATCTTGACATTTTGGCTTAGTTCAAATGTAACAGCACACCATGATTTGTGAAAAAATGTGCAAGAGGGCATTTTTGTAGAGATAAGAATTGCAACATAATGGACAGTTCAGGAGGGCATTTTTATAAGGGAATAGGATTGCAGTATTTGTTGTGTGTATCATCTTGCTTTTACTGTGCTGCTTTCTGCCTTTGTAATCTACTTTCTGCAGTGTTTATGATGGTATGGCAAGCATTGTTTATTGGATGCCTCACATTGACTAAATTTTTAAATATTTTGTAATATGCCTTGAATTTCAGTGAGAAAGGCAGGCTATGAAGTAAATTAAATTAAAATAAATAAAATAATTTGTCATCCCACTACATAGCCTGGGAGAGCTTCAGATTCATACACTCTTTTTCCTTATTCTCTCTTTATACATGACCAGCTAAGGAATTATTTCTGCTTTTGTGTCTACCCCATAGTTTGCCATTATGTCCAAACTGGCGCAGTATGGCTTGTGTTTTCCTTGAAAACCAGGAATCCAATCTGGGAATAAGCCATTGTTTGAAAACCTGATTCACAAGGAAAGTGTAAGACATCATTTGCTTCCTGGACCAAAAAAAACAAGCTATGGTTTCCACAAAAGCAAAAATAATTCCTTAGCTGCTATGCACAAGGGGAGAAGCTTACACAAGTGGAGGAAAACTTAGCCAAGATCAGTTCTGCTTGATTTTGTACAGGATTCGAGATCTTCCAACACACAGTGAAAACCCATCTGAAGGATACTTGAGATATAATGATTAAGTCAAGTTAAGTGATCAAAAGACCAATATTTAATAAAGTGTTCGGAATACACACAGTCTCATATTCAAAATGGGAAAGATTAAAAATGACTAGCATTTTTTTTAAAAAAGGGTTTTTTTGCAAATCCTTGAGTTACATATTAAAGTAGAAGTGGACAGTTCAATTTTGGATACCTGGAATAAGCACTAACGTTCAGCACTGAACACATGAAGCTTTATTATAGTGAGAACAGCCATCGGTCCATGTAGGCCAGTGTTGCTCACTCTCTGGAGTTTCCCCCAACTACTAGAGACGCTGGGGACTGTGTTTTGCATGCAAAGCATATGCTCTGCTCACTGAGCTACGGCCATTCTGCAAGTAGCTATGAAAACTAAAATCATTTTATTTTAATCTACAGTCAAGGTTTGTGTTGTACTGCTTCAAAAGATTTTGTGATCATGCTCACATGTGCAGTAGCAAATAGCTGATCTGACCTAATATCAGGGTACTGGAGGGAGGTGAAAGGGTTTCTGGCTGCCAGTGGCTGAAAGCTGACCTCATTTCACAGAGACAAGGCAGGCAGAAAGAAAAAAAAGTGGGGGGGGGGGGGGGAAGGAAAGGACGAAAGAGGCAGGGGACTCAGAAGGCAGCTGACCAAGATTATCGAGAGTGAATGTGGGGAGGAGAGGGGACACGGGGAAGAATACTAGGACAGAAAAACTAGAGCAGTCCTAAGGAACTAAAGGGGAGAAGCCAGAGGAAGAAATATGAAAAGGGAAGGAATACTCAGAACAGAGAAAGAGCAGAAGCACATGGTCAGGAGTGGCAGAAAAAGGAAGGCTAAAATTCCTACACTTTTCTGAGATAACCAATCAAATTCTTGGCAGCAGGCCTCTTGTACAATTATACTGGCACAAGATAAAGCACATGCTTGCCCGTCTCCAGTGCAAAGACACGGAAGTTTAGAACCAAGTCAATAAGAAGATTTCGGTTACTGAGATCAGCTGAGAGACATGGTTCCACGCCCCAGGCATTAAGCAGGTTGCCTCCAAGGCTCTCCAACTATTAATGACATATTCAAGTTCAGCGAAAAATGTTTTTCTAAATATTTCCTTTATTTTAAAGCACCACACTAATATTTGGGGGAAATGCACAATAATTCAGCACTGCCTTACCTTTGGGGGCTAATTTTAGCATTTCACCAGCACGGAAAGAAATTTCTTCTTCCGAAACAGCACTGAAGTCATACTCTGCTCTCCCAACAACATGATCATCCTCTCCACTTGCCCAGTTACTGGAAGCTGTTCCACAGAACAAGAGGGAACAAATAAATGTAACTCCACTGGATCAATACAGTGCCTTGTTGCCAGAAAGAGTTGTGTAGTTAACGCAGAAGCTTTAGCCCATGGTTCCCCAACGTGGTTCGCATGGGAGCCATGGTGCTTGCTGACACCTTTTCTGATGCCTACCAAATGTTTTTAGGGTTCTGATTGGCTATTGGGGATTTGACTGTCTGCAGATTTTTAAAAATGTTGCTTTGGCAGTAGCTGCCACTACAGCACAAGGATCTTCACTGCGTGACTGAAGTTAACCTGTGGCAATTACTTTGTGGCTGGCTTTGGCTCCTGCAGCAGCCCTTTTGTGGCTGCACCCACCATGCTGTTTCAGAGTTCCAAAGGTCCCCACAGACTCAAACAAACAAACAAACAAACTTGGGGAGGGTTGAATCCCCCTCATACCTTTTGAAATGGCCACTGCAGGGATCTACTCCAGGCCCCACTGCATCAACAGTGAGAGAGAGACTGGCTGATAGCCACTGGGGGGGGGGGAGGAAGCAAAAAGGAGAACTGGAGCTCAGGTTGGGAAGGATTCCCTCTGCAGTAAAAGGTAAAGGTAAAGGTTCCCCTGCTCGAAAGCCAGACGAATCCGACTCTAGGGTTGTGGTGCTTATCTCCGTTTCAAAGCCGAAGAGCCAGTGCTATCCGAAGACGTTTCCGTGGTCATGTGGCCAGCATGACTAAACACCAAGGCGCACGGACCGCTGTTACCTTCCTACCAAAGTGGTACCTATTTATCTACTTGCAATTTCTTGCTTTCGCACTGCTAGGTTGGCAGGAGCTGGAACTAGAGACGGGAGCTCACGCCATCATGCGGCACCCGGGTCTTGAACTGCTGAAGTACTGACCTTCCACAGCCTGTAGTTCAGCGTCTTAACCACTTGCGCCACCGCAGCTCCTCCCTCTGCAGTATGAATGGCTAAATAGCAGGAGGTTTGGAGCCAGACCTGGAACTAGGATTACCTGCTCCAGGTTTGGAAATTCCTGGAGAGTCTGTGGTGAAGTCTGAGGAGGGGAGAGGCCTCAGCTGGATATAACGCCACTGAGTCCACCCATTTTCTCCAAGGGGACAAATCTCTGTTGTCTGGAGTTCAGTTGTAATTCTGGGGGGTCTCCAGGTCCCACCTGAAGGCTGGCAAACCTAGGCCTAGCAGCACCCTCTGGGTGACTGGGTGATCACCTGACTTGCATGATTCAGCTAGGCCCGGCTGCTTGCTACTGTTCAATAGCAGCCACCCCATGAAAGCCAGCGTAGTATAATGGGCAGAGCTTCAGAGTAGGATTTGCGAGACCCAGGTATAAATCCCCACCTTGCTGTGGAAGCTCACTGGGTGATTCTGGACTAGTTACACATTTTCAGCCTAACCTACCTCATAAGGTTGTTGAGTGGATAAAAAAGAGGAAAGAATAATGTCAACTGCTTAATCCCTGGATATTTGAGGCGTTGAGCCTGGGGATGGTAGTTATTGAGGCGGGGAGGGACTTCAGACAGATCTAATGCCATAGACTCCACCTCCAAAGGAGTCATTTACTCCAGGGGAACTGATGTTGCCAACCTCCAGGTGATGGCTGGAGATCACCTGGAATTACAACTGATCTCCAGATGACAGAGATTAGTTCCCTCAGAGAAAATGATTATTTTCATCTGGCTCAAGTGTGTCATAATGTTCCTTATGAACAATTTTTGCAAATGAAGCAGAACTGTACCAGAATAGAGGATTATAACTTTAAATGTGGAGAACTGACGACAGTTTTTACATAGAGGTTATCCTTTAGGCATCATAAATAGAGCCAGAATTAGAGCCTCAAATGTCTCTAGAAATAGCTTGTTAACCAAAAAAATGAGAGCAACTCACTCTGGCATAAATTGGGCATTGAATTACTCCACTCTAGCAATGCCCATAAAGAGAGTAGTACAGTTGTGCCAATCCTCCCACTATAGGTTTTCTTAAGACCAAAAGTATTCAAGATTACTTAGTACACTCTGATTTTAGGAAAAACCAAGTTGCTAACACCCTTCCATCAGTACATTTTTCCTGTGGGAGTTGTAAAATATGTCATATGGCAATAGAGGGTAATTTGGTGCCCTTACCTGGATGAGAACCTATTAATCTTTCCTTTTTCTCCACGTGTTCAACACCATGTGTAGTGTATCTAATTGTATGTGGTTGTACGCAATTTTATGGGGGGGGGAACAGTCTGGCCGATCAAAGTGCGCATTTTAGAGCATATTTAACGCATAAGACATAATATCTCAGAGGCTGCTCTAACTGGGCACTTCAGCTCCAACAATCATAAACGTGATGAGTTTTGTTATACAGTTTTGTTTGTAGCCACTAAAAAGAAGTACGCTCACAAGATACTTTTGCAGGAAGAGGCCAAGTGGATATTTTGTTTAAATTCACTTTCCTCATGGACTAAACTCTGAGTTGGACTTAAGTTGCTTCTTGTAAAACATCTATTTCTTCTGTATGTACTATAGTTGTGTTTACAGGAATAAGAGAACATGGATATTTCATTTAAACCCACTCTCTCCTCTTGGATTATATTTTGAGTTAGATTCAAGCTGTGCTTCATATACATCTTTCTCCTCGGAATGTATTCAGACCTGAACTATGAGAGCATTGTTTACTTTAGGGCAAGTATAGATAGTACAATACTTTCTCTTTAAATGCATAGTCTCTGTCTTTGCCACCTGTTAGTAATTAAGTTGTAATGGGAGCAGTTAGGACACTATAAGCAGGTAAAGATTTTGTTTCATTGAAGAGGGAAGAATGTTTTGTGTTAAGTTCACGGATTACAATTGTGTAAGTATTTTTAACCTTGTGGTAGGCTTTATGGAGTTTTCATGCCAGCTTTAGTGACAAGATAAGATGATTATTTGATTATATTGTTTTCCCTCTCATTTCTGTGACATGTAAACTCATGTTATTCATGCAGCACAAAAGCAGTCATGTGAAACGGGAGTATATGCAAATTCCGTTGTGTGGATGTGTACATCTTTACTACTTGTTGATGAAATACTACTCACTGCAACACAGCAGTCTAAAAATATATATTTTCATTATACATCACAGCTGTTTTCTTCATTCAACCTACCCATGATCTCTCTGTTGTTTCTACAACCTCCAGGTGATGGCTGGAGATCACCTGGAATTACAACTGATCTCCAGATGACAGAGATTAGTTCCCTCAGAGAAAATGGCTGCTTTGAAGGGTGGAGTTTATGGTATTATACCCTGCTGAGGTCACGTCCAAACTCAAACCTTATCCTCCCAAGGCTCCACTTGTTTCTTGCAGGTCTCCACTTGTATATTACTATTAGCTGTGGGAAGTAAGTTTGAGCTGACTATTAAGCACTACATTCTGTTGAGTCACTAAACAGCATCTTCCTCGGCATGAGGCACCCACACACAGATTCTATGATTGTTATATACAATGGTTTAAAGTTACACAAAAATCTTCCTCGTGCTACACATTCTGGGAATCAGGGTAAAATAGCCAACATTAGGAAAAGTTGCGTGCAATGTGAAAGCCTGCATACTGCATCAAGTACTTGCTGTCCTGCATATTGTGGTTTTTCTCTCACAAGACCTTCTGACATCTTCACTTACATGTAAACAGAGCAGTTAAAAGCAAGTAAAATGATAACTTTCTGAAGGCGAAGGAAATCACTTCACATTTTAAAGACATACAAGTGCATGTTCTTCTGTTATATTTACATAATCAAATTATAATATAGTGTTCTTGCAAATCACTTAACATTTATTACTTGGTTATGATCATGACAAGTCTCTAAGGTAGGTCAATATCCCCTACTTTATTATGAAATTACACACAGCAGGGCTGGGACTAATAAATGGACTGCCTAAGATTGCCACATTTCATGACTGAGGCAAGAGGCGCAAGCGACTTCCTAATCTTCCTAGTTCAGTGTTTTAAGCCAAAAGACTGCAAGAGAGTTTGCTTTCCAGGATAGCAAAAATCAATTTACTAAGAACCTCATTCTAACTTCCAATTATTACCCTGTAGTTCTGTAGGTGAAAACACTGTCCTTATTACATTCCTTTAATTTCTGTCATCAGGGATATCCCTCTTACCTGTTTCTTCCTCACTGTAGGTGGATAGCAGCTTCCAAATGAGGTAGGGACCACCAAGAACAACGGCAAAGAATAGGAAAATAGGCCAGGATTTTGCAGAGTTAGCAGCCTTGTCCTCAGGTCCAATGCGAGCCACAGTTCCTTCACTTTCTGCCCACAAATCCTCATTCTCTGAATTTTTTCTCATACCCAGCAACCTCTGTAAACGCCTGTAGAGGTACCTTATAGTTCTGACTAATGCAAAAGCTGAAAACACCTTTGTGAAATGTATTTTGAGTCGGGAGAAGTGATTGGCTACATCCAAAACTGCTCGGAAACTGTTGTAGACAGCAGAAAACGTAGCGTCCATCATCATGCTCACCGAAGCAAAGGCATGTACTATGCTTTCAATGGACTGGAACGCACCACGGCTGCTCTCCTCAGCCTGTTGAACAAATCTGCTGGTAGGAATGTCATCCATTCGAAACCGATTGTAGCCCAAACCGCCATATCCATAACTGTAAGGGTTGTAGCTCCCATAAAAGGAATTTCCATATGTCCCATAGCCTGGAGAAAAAGAGCTGCTGTAAGATGGTCTGAAAGTATTCAGGGAACTGTTTCCTGCCTGTTGAGATGGCCTTGGCAAAATAGGAGGGGGCACTCGTGTCAGGGTGGGTTGTCCAGGCCGAGTCAGCTGGTTGGCCATCACATCAGCAGCTCTAAAATTCAGAAATCCACTATTAACACACAGCACAATTGCAAGTTTAGAATACTCCTCCATCTTGCACTTCTCCAAGCACTCTGCATTGCTTCCTACCATTCCACTCAGCTAAGGGTGATGTGTTCCATCAGCACATGCCATATGCTGCTGGCAGAACAGCTCTTGTGTTGGCAGGATGTGCCACAACTGAGCAGAATGGCAGGATACAACCCTATATATTTACAAGCCAATTTTAATCCTTATGCCCACCCCTCTTAACTGGATCCTTTACCAGATATTAAAATGCAATAAAGGCCTTTAAATATGATAAATTATCTTTCTATGCAATAATAAGTATTTAACATCACTGAGTAGCTCTTTAGCCAAGGCTCTTAACACAATACCTCCCAGTTAACAGGTTATGGAAGGTTAATGTGTAACAGACACTTGCGTAAGGCCTTTAAATTGGAAAAAGCGTTAATCTTTAGCACTGGAAAAAGCATAAACTGCCATGGATTTAAAACTTTCAGTCCTATTTGAGTGCAATCCACCTCTCACTGTAAGCCCCCCTGCCCTAGCCTTAAGATCTACTATGGAGGCTTTACTCTGATTTAGGGGGGAGTTGCCATCTACCACAAGGAGGGCCTGTTCTGTGGTGGCTCTGGTTTAAGGATGCTGTCCACTTGAAAGTTCTCTGGGCTCCTTTCACAGACAGATGAAATCACTTTTATCCCATTGGACATTTGGCAATTCACACTTCCATAGAGTTGTTTTTAAAGACTTATTTTAATTGATCCCTATCTAGCTTACTAGATACTTTAGAACTATCAAAATATGAAATTGCTGGCTGTGACGGGATCATACGTTTTATCATATTTTTGCCCTTTGGATGGAACATTGTAACTCCCCATTCCTCTCACGAAAATCGAAAACAAGGGCAAAGAGGGGCCTACTCGCCCCATTAATTTCATTTGACCAAGATTACAGATTATATATAAGGCAAGTGCAATGCTTTTAGGAAAAAAACAACAACAACGAATGTCCTGGACACCCTAAGTGTAAGAATTTAGATCTGAAACTCCAGTGTTTCATAAACCTTGGCTGCAGGCCTTATGCACACTGATCTGGAAGGTACAGATTCTGGAAAGGACAGCTATGATGACACTCTGTTGCAGCAGAATAAAGCCTTAAGAGATATACTGTCAGAAATTTTCAAGGGCTAGAGCTGACTGAAAGTCATGGGACTCAAATATGTATTTATTTATTAAATTTGTATCCTGCCCTTCCAACATGGGCTCAGGGCGGCGAACTTAGAGGCAAATGCCATAAATAAAACAATAAAAGAATAAACAATCATTACCTATAAAACAGTTAAAAGTCGGTGCTCAACAGACCATATCAATTCCGTAATAAAATGCCAATAACAATAACACACTCCGAGTAAACACAATTGTCTCTGCTCAATTGATGTTACACTATCAAATGCAAGTAAGTGTGTACAGGACTGCAGTAGAGGTACACTCCTCTGAGTCCACTGACTTTAGCAGGATATAATTCTGTTGAAGACTGCACTGCTAGTCAGATATACGAAGTACTGTCTTCAGCTGGCAAACGTGATACACATACACGAAGAAAACTTTTTGTAAAGAGGGGGCCCAAAGGCTCTGAAATACTAGAGGACAGCAGGTTTGTGACTTTGCAGTGCAAAGCACAAAGGTAGCTGAAATACAATTACAAACCTGTAAACAGTAACTGATTTTTACTTGAGAATAAGTCCCATTTAATTCAGTGGGACTTACTTCCAAGTAAACAAGCTTACACTGTTTGACTCATTTTATGCAACTAGGGAACATCCAGTAGAGTTGTCAGTTCATTTCAAAGGTTAATTGTGCAACATCCATCTCCATTTCGCCTCCTGCAGATTACACCAGATGCCTGATACCAAAAACTAAACTAGGCTGGAAGTACTGGATTGCCTGGAAGAGTCAGAGTACTGAACACAGCTAACACCTGCACTGTGTCATTATCTGGACAAAATGTGAGTACTGTGCCTCAGTTGTTCATTTGCAAAACTGTAACAACGCAACCTTGCAAACAGGTTCACAAAAGTGACTTGATACAGACGTTATAATTAACTTGCTCACCCTATGCACAACAATATGATGAAATACCATGGAATATCTGTGATAGGCATATTTTGTGGCCTGAAAGAAAGTAACTTTTGTAAGGCTTCACAGCCTAGTTGCCACAGAGTGGCTGCTGATGAATCTGGAACGATGTAATTCCAGTGGAGCACCAGATCCGGTTTAAGGTTTTGGTGTTGAACTTCAAGGCCCTTAGCAGTCAGGGACCTACATACCTTCGGGAGCACCTCTCTCAATATGTCCATGAAGGAGCGTTACACTCCAGCAATAAGAATCTGCTTGTGATCCCCGGCCCGAGGGAGGTCCAGCTGTCCTCAACTAGGGCCAGGGTCTTTTTAGCCCTGGCCCCTGCCTGGTGGAACATTCTGCCTGAAAATATCCGGGCCCTATGGGATTTATTACCTTTCCATAGGGCCTGCAAGGCAGAGATGTTATGCCAGGCCTTTGGCTGAGGACTGCAACGGTTGGCACTCTCATACCCTCCTACCCAGCCCTCCACATCCCTTCACTCAGGGAGCTGGTGGGAACAGAAGTTTTTCGCCATCTTATATAATGAAGTCTGAATGTATATTGTTCCAGTAGTTTTTAACTGCTATTTAATGGAGCATCATTATGTTTATATGATGTAAGCCACCCTGGGCCTTGCTTGTAGGGAAGAGCAGTCTAGCAAGTTGAATTTAATACAATAAATAAAATAACTAATAATTCATGGGATCAATGTGAGGATAAATAAATAAATAATTTTAGACTACTAGCAGCATTTTGTACAGCAGATCCAGAGTTATTTCTTTTGACAATCAGGGGAAGGAAAAAAACACATCTGGTGGGGGCTGCAGTAAAGGGCAAAACTGGATGGGACAGAGTGGAAAGGCTGTTTCGAAACAACCCAAAAGCTGTTTGCTCCAGTTCGCGCTGTAGCTGCTCTTTTGTCTACAGAAGGATCATCAGGAAATTATGTCAGATTACCAAGCAGTAAAAGCTTAAATAAAGGATAAAAGGTGTGTCATCATTAAGTGGTACCTGTTATAAATTTAAGCCAGTAGAAACTACCTCTACTGATCAATCCTCGAACTGTTTACTTTGAAGTTAAGTACCACCAAGTTCAAGGGAACTTATTCCCAAATTAGCACAAGAAAGGATTGCAGTGAATGCAGGAGTGTTGTGCAACCTTAATTATCCCAGAAAGTGATGGACATTAGTGAGCACCACCCAGCTGGACGAAAACAGGGAAGAGAAGTGGGAGATGGGGAAAGGATAAGATTAACAATAACTGCAACTGTATGCATGCATCGACTTCTTGTGATTTTACTGGGGGTGCTTCCAGTAAATTAGCAAAAAATCATCATGCATGTTGGGAATGCACCTGGGGCTAGCCAAACAAACAAGAAAAGAACATCAAGGCATCATGGTGCTGTGGACTATTTACATAAAGCTTGGGAGAAAGGGGGGCACTCCGATTCAATCCAAATAATGCATGGGAGGATGGTGGGGGATATCTTTCAAAACTTGTTCTTGCACAAATATCTCAATTAACATTGCTATTTCAGTTTATACCATACATGGTACAATGCAATCCTGTATAAAAACTGGCAACAGTAACCCTCAAATCTATAACCTTTGACCGGCATTAACTGCATAAGATTACACTGTGAATTACAGAAGATCATCTAGGTGGACTTTTGGCCTCTGTACACCAACACTGGTCCATACACACATACAAAACCATGAGAACCAGTCCAATAACTTGACTGGAGGCTCCTCCACCCAACATTACATTTATTCGCTTACAAAAGTATCAACTGCTGGCCATATTCTGAGAGAAAACTTAACCCAGGTCTTCACAAACAATTCCAGAGGGACAGACTGCAGCAAAAACAACAGTGAGTTTTGTGGCATCAGTGTGGCCTCAGCTTCTGTGGGCCAGGACCCACTTTGTCTGATGCTATAACCCATAAAAACACATGCCACAGTTACTTTTTACAGGCATCACAAGTTTCACCACAAAGCGTACCTTCACAGTATTAACAGCAGGTTATTTGTTGAAAATTTTGCTCCTCCTCAGGTGAAGAGGTAGAAATTATTAATAGCATCAACATAACAGAATGTCCCCTGGAAAAGCTGGTGGGGTGACAAGGGAGAAGAACCCTGTAGGGTAGGCAGAGAGAGCTTCCATTGCTTCCTCGACCGGTTACTACACTTTCATCCCACCCTTCCTCCAAGCTTCTCAGAGCAGTCTATTAAACTTCTTCCTCACAACAACCCTGCAAACTTGCTCAAGGCCATTGGGTCGAATGAACAGTTTCATTTAAGCAAAGTAACCTTGCAAACTGATACCAGGCTAAGAGAGTGAAAGTGCAATCTTGAGTTAAGTAGAGTCCCCGTATATACCCCAGAGAGCACTACGGTCTGTGTCTCAAAATCGGTTGACCCTCCCTGGCCTGAGGGAGGCCAGGCTAGCTACTACCAGGGCTGGGGCCTTTTCAGTGGCGGCCCCTACCTGGTGGAACGAGCTCCCGGAGGAGATCAGGGCCCTGCGGGATCTCTCACAGTTCCGCAGGGCCTGCAAGAAGGAGCTCTTCCACCAGGCATTTAATTAGGGGCTGCCGCTGTCGCAGAGCCCTGGCTCATGGTCTTAACATCGAGTCGATGCCACAAGAAATTACAAGCAGAACAACATCTAAGTACATCTGGGAAGCAGAAACTCATTTTGAAATCGAGCCATCTAAGTTAATCTTTTAACTGCCGCCAGCACTTTGTGTATTTGTTTTATCTGTTGTGTTTTAAATAATTGTATGATTTTAACTGTATTTATGTTTGTATAGAAGCTGCCCTGAGCCTGATTTGCAGGGAGGGCGAGGTATAAATTTGATAAATAAATAAAGTAAAGGAAAAGGGTTCCCTTGCTCCAAAGCCAGTCAAATCCGACTCTAGGGGGCGGTGCTCATCTCCGTTTCCAAGCCAAAGAGCCAGCGCTGTCCGAAGACTTCTCCGTGGTCATGTGGCCAGCTTGGCTAAACACCGAGGCGCATGGAACGCTGTTACCTTCCCTTGGAAGTGATAACTATTTATCTACTTGCAATTTCTTGCTTTCAAACTGCTAGGCGGGCAGAAACTGGGGCCAGAGATGTGACACTTGGGACTCTAACTGCTGAACTACCAACCCTCCGGTGTGCAGCTCAGCTTTTTAACCTCTGAGCCACCCTGGCCCCCTAAGCAGAGTTACACCCTTCTAAATCCATCGAAGTCAGTGGATTCCGAAAGGCTTAACACTGTTTAGGACAGCCCCACTTCCTGGATGAACAAGGATTTGAACCCAGGGACTTCCAGTCCCCGGTGCTACATTCTCTCCAGTGAACCCCGCGGCTCTAATTTACGAAGCAAAGTCTGGGGGGGGGGGCGGTTGCCCCCTCCCCTCCTTGGACGACGCAAAAGGTTTCCCCCTGCCTCCTTCCCCTCCCCTATATCCGCAGATGAGGAATGTGGGGGGAACCCTCTAAGGGAGGAGAGGTGTGCGTACGTGTGTGGCCAGACAGTTGGCCCAGGCAGCTCCTTACTGCCGAAGAGGAAAACAGAAGGAGAACTACGAAACAGACAGACATAAGACGCACACGGCGCGCTAAGTACGAGGAATGGGAGCAGAAGGGGCTTCACCCTGGAGTACGTGGCGTGCGTGTTTGGGGAAGGGGGGGGGGTCACTGCAGCTCCCTCCCACCAGAGACTGACAGCGGGAATGCGATCCGTGCTTCATTCTTGGCTCGCCAGGTTTGCTTTCCCTTCCTTTCCCCTCCTCCCCGACCCGCCACTCACAGGCGCCTGTTCTCCCAAGGCTTGGGCGGCGGAGGCTGGTTAGCCGCCATCATCGCGCGACGGCTCCGTCTTCGCCTCCGCTTCCTCGGACGAGCACCGAGTTCATCGACCCTACGCCCCCGCCGCAAGTCCAGCCCTTCGATCGACTACCTCTGGCTGCGGCTGATCGAGCCCACACTCTCGCTCAAACGACAGAGCGGTTTCCCTCCCCTTAGAAAAGCAACTGACAGTTACACGTTGCAACTCCGGTTCCCAACTGCTGTTTAATAATGTACAGACTTTAAAATAGTTCACTACATTCTAGTACTATGAGTAGCCGTTATTTGTTGCTGTGATTTGATTTATTTTTATTGACTCAGAGGATGGCGGAAGACCGGAAGGCCTGGAGGGAGCTGGTCCATGGGGTCGCAAAGAGTCGGACTCGACTGTGGGACTGAACAACAACAACAACATCACCCCAAATCATTATGGGGTGTTTTCCCCCTCTCCAAGAGGCATACAAGATTCCCTTCTCCCCTACACCATTTTATCCTGACAACATTTTAGCAGTGTTCCCTCTAAGCTGAGTTAGTGTGAGCTGGCTCACAGTGTTTTAGCCTCCGGCTCACACATTTTTGTCTCAGCTCAGGAAGGAGGGCTCCAGGGCAAACTAATTCATGCAGCAGCAAAATCGCTCGCTCACAACTTTAATGCCAGGAGCTCACAAAGTGGAATTTTTGCTCACAGGACTCCACAGCTTATAGGGAGCATTGCCTGTGAGGTAGGTTACTATAGTGCCTATAGCATAGGGCCATAGAGATGAAGATAAAGACACACACACACACCGGAATTCCTAGGGAGCCACTGCAAGTCAGGAAGCCGTGACCTCGAATAGACCAACAGTCTGACTCAGTATAGCCTTATGTGAACACGGTGGGACGTGCTTTAAGGCACAGGGAATTTGTTGTTAGAACTGCAATCGACATCCGGAAGTAAATGTTAAATGAACTGACTGTAGCCCTTCGGGATTAATGGGAGTACCGGAGTCGGAACTATTATTTCTGGCAGGCTGTTTCCTCTCACTCTCTGCGCTGGAAGGAACCGAAAGGCGGAAGAGGAAGGGAGTGTTATGGTAGTCAGGTGCATCGCACAAGTGGTCCCGGCATAGTCTTTTATTCGTGTATTGGCAAATGAACGGTAGGACAGATGTGTAACGTTTACTGCTTTCTGAGGGGAGGTTGTATGGGTCACGGTGGTTCTGGCTTTGAAGAGATAGGGAAGGACGGAGAAAATTACTGTGCAACCCTAAACACGTTTTCTCAGAATTAAGTCTCGTTGACCGGAATGGGACTTGCTCCTTAATTGTTGCGACGTTAATTTTCTATGACTTAAGGGAGATTCGTGTCAGGAGTATTGGCAAAATGACAAAACTGAGAGCGTTTTGTTTCGGGGTCTTCTCCTAAAGACTCTGGGGTAAACGAACAGAGTAATTTTTTGAGGTGCTCTGTATTTATCCTCTCTAATCATGATGATGACAGTTTCTGTGTAAAGTAGATCATTATTATTATCCTCATCTTGCAGATGGGGACAGACACAAGTCACTGAGCAGTCCATGCAAAGCGAATCTAAACACTGTAGTTTGATACAATCTACATGAGGAGACATCTAATGAGCAGTATACTAGTACTAGGATTACAAAACCCAGGGCTTTTTTTTCTGGGGGAACGTGCCAGAATGGAGTTCTGGAACCTCTTCAACAAAATCCCTTTAAAAATGTTTAAAAGTTCATGAGTGTTCAGTATATACAGATTGAAAACTTTATTTTCCTCCTGAGAGATCCAGCACTCCCCCCCCCCCCCCCCCCCAAGCCTTGACAACAATGAAATGACAACAGGGTAATATGTAGCAAACTGATAGTATGTTCTATACCGAGTGGTATAATCTATAGCCGCTCTCTCTTTAAAAGCACCTTGCTGAACTATTCTGTTATAGTATAGCCCTGCTGCCATTATAGAAAAGCTCTCACAAACAACTCCATTTTACATAGCTTGTGTAATGACAGGAGTGTGGACACTCTTCTGACCTCTTCAGACAGGCTGTTCCATAGTGACCACAACAGCGAAAGCATGCGTATGGGCAGTTGTAGATCTTGCCTGTTTGCAGGGTGACACCTGCAGAAAGCCCTGAACAGATGAACAGAGCTGTCATTGCAAAACACAGGGGGAGAGGTAGTCCTACAGATATGAGGGTTGGAGCCCATGCAGCTCTTTGTGTGTGATAGTCAGGACCTTGAATTGACCCCAGTACTGATGGGCCACCAACAGAGTGACTGCAGAAGGGGGAGTCAGTGTGTTGTAGGGGTTAAAGTGTTGGATTAGGACTTGGGAAACCTAGATTTGAATTCCTACTCTGTCACGGAAGGGCAGACCCATGTAGCATGCATTACAATGATGAAATCACGATGTGACTGTGGCATTGATCCAGGTAGATAGATCAGCTGGGTACAACCCTGAGGCTCTTAACCATGTCATCATGGGTCAGCCAAACTCCCAACCAGAGTGGGAAGTACGTCCTTCAATGCCTAGTGTTCCCAATGAGCATTACCTGTTTTTAAGATTAGTCAAATAACTGAACTATAATAATCAGTGTAATGTATATCCTGCTTCAAAAATCTATGAAGAAATTGCATTTTAAAAAATCCATGAAGAAGGGCTATTGCAAAGTAAATTAACTCAGTGTAGAACCAGTACTAATCTGTACAATGTGTACTTATAGCAATAGCGCTGTAGACATGATGAGGCTCTGAGAACTCAGGAAAGGCTTTATTAAAGAGCTGGAGGAACTGGAGAAAAGTAGGATACTGAACTAGATAGACCACTGGTCTGATCCAGCAGGGTTCTTCTGATGTTCCTGAGCCAAGGGTATAGGCAGTGGGCCAACTGGTAGCTAATTGGGAGAGATTTGTTCTTTTGAAGTCATATGATTTGTTGTTCTTCTTCTTCCCCCTCCCCAAGCTACAGTTAAAAGGCTAAGAATCTCTTTATTTTAAAGTATAGGCTTCTCCAGCATGATTGAACTATCAGAAAAAGACAAACCTATTGCTCAGATGCTACTGAATTTTGGAGCATGCCCACGATGCATTTTCAGGTTCTGCCGTGTGGAACTACAGGCTCCATACAGACGTCCTGAGAAGGTTTGGTTAAATTAAAGTACATGATGGGTGAGGTGGTGGCTATAATCAGTTTTCAGGCCACAGTGGCCCTGTTTTCTAAGCAAGGGAAACATTCAACAGGAAGTTGGGAAATGGAAGGAGGTTGGTGGATGGGGAAGATAGGGCACACATGATCTTAGCATGGAGGGAAGAGACAAGGGTTCTGAACGGGACGGTAGTAAGGGAGGAGGGTCATAGGGTGAAGAGAAGTGCTCCTGCCCAGTGCATGACATGAAGAAACAGCCAACTGCAACAATCAGGAAGCCCAGCATGTCACCACAAATTGGAGGAAATGAAAATCTGGACATGCATCAGCCCCAGTTGGTTCTCGTGGTACACTAATACAATTGTTCAGATTAAGTTTGAAACTTCCCTGATGGGTTCCCATAGTCATGGGCAGATCTCAGTCCTCCTAAATCCTCCACATCTAACTTTTTCTTTTTTTGCTGTGGCTGATACTGTTGCAATTGGGCGCTTTGTACGAGGACGCCCTGCCTGCTCTCTGAGCCAGCAGAAGGTCTTGTTCTCTCCATACTCTCTTGTCTGCTCTAGCTCATTTTCTTGCTTTTCTCCCTACCTTCTCAACTTTATCCTTTATCTTGTCACATACCAAGAAACCCAAGCCCCATTCTGCACCATTTCCTGACCTAGAAGTAGCCTTCCTGCCTTTGCTTCTAATGACACAGATAACATTTCCAGCACAGAACTGTTGCATGTTTACACAGAACATCTTCTAGTTTCTTAACAGATGGACACTTGTCACTCTTCAAATTAAACTCAAGGTTAGGGTCACCCCATGTAGAAAAGCAGCTGTGGGTTTATAGGGTCTGTTGCTCCGAGTCCATTAGATCATTAGTGATGGGGGGGGGGATGTGGATCTCACCGCACACTGAAGCCATGTGTGGCTCCCTTCCAACAAAGTCTTACTCTGCTTTCTTGGTTGACCAGGAGTTGCTTTGTGAACTACGCACATTCCTGCAGAGCAATAGCAACGAGAGTGAATCATCTTGTGAAACGGTCCAGCCGCCATGTAAAAGAATTAGACTTGAGAGCCGCAAAGAAGAAGCTGAAGAACAGACCGCAAATGGGAGCCATCAGCTGACTGATGCAGAAAACGATGGAAATGCGACTGATGATAATTTAAGGCCTCCTCCTGTTTGCACCGTGTGCTTGGGAATTCTGCAGGAGCTCTGTGAGATGGATTTTGTCAAAGCAGTAAGTGTCAGCAAGTCAGAAGTTTTGTCTGTCAGTTTTTCAGCTAATAGGTCAGCAGTGCAGTGTGCATGTATGGCAGTGAGGCTCTTCTGTCTCTTATAGTGCACTTCTGTTTGGACCCCTTTCATTGAACCCAACAAATAATAATTTCCCTGTCAGTTACTTCAGTCTAAGCCCATTGAAATCAGTGGGCTTCAACTGGACTATTGCATTTTTAGTCCCATGGAGCTTTCCCTTGGCAAGAACCTAGCCTGCTGAGCACTCGGGCCTCAAAATCCTAGCCCAGAAGGAAAGGGAGTTCACAATCCTGATCCAAGGGTGATTGGCGGGCTGAGTGAAACCTCAGTCTTAGCCTTGTTTGGTATAAATGCTAATACCCAGTCAGTAGAGTAGCACTCTCTGCATGCTGTGCTTCTCTGCGAATCACTGGACTCCATGATTTTGGGTTGGAGAACACAGACAGTAAGACTGAGTTTTTGGTATGGCTGCCTATAGCAACTGCCTGGCTCTGACACAACCATTCTAGCTGTGGGTCCATTGTTGACTGTTGCCCATCACTGTCCCATGTACTTTGTTGGCCCTCTAAGCAGGAAACTGAGTCCTGTACAAAGTCTGGCTGCACTTCCTGTTGATCCCTGTTTTTCTAGGTCTGCCAGAAGATCAATTCTTCTGAATATCAGTTTTCCAGCTTTGTGTTCTCCGTGTCTTTCCCTCCGCAGCTTTCTGTCCGAGAGGTGAGTGTTTGCTGCCGATGCTGTTGTTCATGCCTAAATTATGGTACAGGTGAAGGGTGCTGTTTTCAAAGTAGCTTTTGCTTTAAGAAATACATTTTGCCGGTGCAGATTTCATGTTGCATCTGGAGTCATGGGAGAAGCTGTGGCCAAACCAGGGCTTGGGGGCGGGGGGAGCAGGAGAGCAAGTGGCGTCTCTGCTGTTTGGTGGCCAGGCTGATAGAGACCTCAGCTTTAGGGCTGGGGCTGGTAAATGAGAACTGGTCACGTCAGATGTTCTAGTGACCCTGTATGAACTTGATTTATTTGGAGTGGCTGATTTCTGTTCAGTTTTCTTAGCCAGTTAAAGCATAGGAGGTCATGAAACCTCTGTTTCATTCACCACTTTCTCTCTTTTTTCCTTCTTCTTTCTGGGTCCGACTACCTGAAGCATGCCGCATGGCTGCTGGTAAAAGAGGAAATAGGGTGAGTAATTTCTGGAGCGGATCTTCTCTAGCCTCTCTCAGTACTAGCTTTCAAGTCAATGAAGCTTGCTAATTTGCACTCTTTGGGTAGTTACGAGCAATACGCTGTCTTCTGCCTCCAGCCATTTCCTCCTGTGGATTTCTCCTCTGGTAATGACTGCCATTCTCTGACTTCATTTTAGCAGAATGCCTTGTGGTTAAGACGCTGAACTGCAGGCTGGAAGGTCGGTAGTTCAGCAGTTCGAGACCCGAGTGCCACACTACAGAGTGAGCGCCCATCTCTGGTTCCAACTCTTGCCAACCTAGCAGTTCGAAAGCAAGAAATTGCAAGTAGATAAATAGGTACCGCTTCAGTGGGAAGGTAACAGCGTCCCATGCGCCTTGGTGTCTAGTCATGCTGGCCACATGACCATGGAAATGTCTTCGGACAGCGCTGGCTCTTCGGCTTTGAAACGGAGATGAGCACCGCAGCCCTAGAGTTGGATTCGACTGGTTTTCGAGCAAGGGAACCTTTACCTTTACCTCTTTACTAATGACTGTGCCATTCTCTGACTTCATTTTAGCAGGATGCCTGGTTCCATTCGGCATCTCTCTCGCCTACCACTAGGTGGCAGGCTGCAATAGGAACCAGGCCAAGGAGCTGCAAGGATAGGAACTGAAATTATTTCAGTGATGCACAGGCCTGAACTTCTGTTACCTAGTTGAAAATTGACAGTAAGAAGGTAGAACCAAGACACAGATGGGAGGAGTCACTCTGTCCCTGCACCTCTATGATACCAGCCTTATTGTTTAGCCATTGCTGCCCAAATGGGTAGCATCACTATAGTATAGTGCCTGGCCCTTGTACCAATCACAAAAGCAGCAAAACTGGACCACCTACCAACAAGGCAGGATGGCACCAGACCTTTGGTGAGCTGATAGGACAGGAAAGGGGCGTGTTGATTCCCCCCCCCCTTTCCAATATATACTGGGGTGAGTGGCCTTTAGACATCATCTTGCTTGTATTTTAATATATCAAATTAACTTCATGAGGATGCTTAATTTAAATGGTTGAGTCCCTTTTCTTTCTTGCTTTTAGGAAGCAGGACCTTTTAGTGGAAAAAGACGACCTTGTTCAGTTGAAGGAAGCATACAAATGGATTATCCACCCCCTGTTCTTGGAGGAGCTGGGGGTTCCTCCTGCTGATGGAAAAGTTTCATAGAAAACAAGTGCCGTCACAGGGCTTTTTGCTACTGAGAACACTGGTCAGTATCTGGGCTGTCCCATTTCAATGAGAAAAGAACAAAGGACCACACCAAGTGGAACAAGAGATGAAGAAAAAAATGGTGCAGTGGAAAGAAATTCTTTATTCCTATGTGTTTCATGCCAGCTTCTTCAGGGGGTTCTATACATATGTAAAAAATAATAAAGAGAAGTAGCGATAAGATGCTTGTTAACCGTATTCTTTTTTTCTTTCCATATATATATAAATAAAATCCCCTGAAGAAGCTGGTGTGAAATGCATCGGGGGTTTGATATTTGGATATTTGGATTTAAAAATTTCTTCCCACTGCACCCATTGTTTTTTCTTTGTCTCCTGTCCCATTTCATACTACAGGCTCATGCAGTGTTTATACCTCAGCGTATGAAGCTGCCTTCATACCTCAGCGTATGAAGCTGCCTTATACTGAGTTGGACCACTGCCTTATCTTTGTGTTACCTGCCATTAATAAATTAATGACCTCCAGATTGTCCTGTCATTGACAGCCTTGTGCAGGTCTTGCTAACTGAAGGTTGTGGCTTCTGTTATTGAATCAACCTGTCTCATGTTGGGTCTTCCTCTTTTCCTGCTGCCTTCAAATTTTCCTAGCATTTTTGCCAGTGTGTCTTATCTTGTGATGATGTGACCAAAGTACGAGAGCCTCGGTTCAGTCATTTTGGCTGCTGCCTCCTCTATCCTGTAAATATGTTTGAATGCTGCTCAGTACAAAGATAGAAACTCTCCTTGTACACTGAAGGCATGGCTGATCTAGGAGCCAATCCTGGGTATATATATAAGAAATAAAATTGGCAAGTTGGGGAGGAGGGCAGGCTGGAGCCTCTGTTGGGTTTCCATGTACAGAGGATCACACGTGTGTGAGTGGTACAGCCCAGACCCAGATGTTCCACTCCAAGGAGGACTAGACCACAGTGGTATCTTGTAGTCAACGAAAAGGAGGAAATCTTGTTCCTTTTCCACATTTCAGATGGACTAGCTGAAGTGAACGGGCTTAACGTCCCCTTGGTTTCAGTAGGAGATCTGAGCTCAAGATCAGCAATTTTCTGCCGCAGTCAATGTGGGATTTAGACCAACTCCCTATCCTCTGAAATATTTGCTGTGGGAAACTAAGACATGAACACAACAGACACCTACCTTGGAGTACCTCTGTGTTCTTACCAGGGAGGCCTGGTGGGATCCTGATTTTCTGGCACAAGAAAACAGGTGTTTAGTAATGGGAGTTTCTCATTCATTCGACAACACATCCTTTGTCTGTTTGCTGAGGCAAACCCAGTGAACTTGAGACAAACACAATTGTTGCATAAATGTTGGAGCCACTTCTAGAAGTTTTAACTTTGGCTGGTATGCAAAATGTCTTTTGTTTTGTTTTCTTTTTTTAAAAAAAAAAGTCTGTTCAAAATTGTCTAGCTCATAGCTAGTATTGGATTTTCAAGTGCTGCATGTGGCAACATCCTACCATGGTGAGCTGGCTGTACATGTTTGGCCCATTAGTTGTTGCAATAGCAGCCACTGGTACAGTGGTACCCACCAGTACTCAGTGAAATGCCCAAAGGCAAGCTGTGAACTTGGGCAGATCATGAGAGGGAGGGCAGGAAGGGTTGCCTCAGTGCTTAGTTCTTGTGGCCCTTACATGTCCAGGAAAATGCTGGTTGCCACTGGGGTCAGGAAGCGATTTTCCTCTGGGCCAGTTTGGCCGGGGATCCTGGAGGGTTTTTTTTTTGCCATCTTCTGGGGATGGAACAGGGGGCACTGTGTGTGTGTGTGTATTTTCTGTATTGTGAATTTTCTGCATTGTGCAGGGGGTTGAATTAGATGACCCTGGAGGTCCCTTCCAACCCTGTGATTCTATGATTCTCCTTTATTCTTGCATGTAGGGGTCATTATATACATGCAGCAGAATCAGTGACATAGAATCAAGGGTAGTTCTTTATGTGTGGGATTTTTTTTCATAGGGAAGCATTCAAATATGTAACTTTCCCCACAACGCACCTGTATTCTAAAGCGGTATACTTCAAGAAAAGCTTGAAAATGAATTCCAGGACTGGTCCTCGGTGGATAGACAAACTGAAACATATCAAGGGAGACAGGAAATAATTTGCCAGTGTGGATGTGAAAATAACTTTTTCTTTCTGATTGAAACCTAGAGCCTGTTTGAAGTGAGTGTGGTGTTTGCCCATCCCGAAACAGATGAGGACTGCCACTTCCTGTAAGTCAGGGTGGGATAATATTTTAGGCAGAGGCAATTGCTGTTAAATATTCCTGTAGAGGTTATACACCTGAGTCCTCCTCCTGTGCTGTTCATGCAGTGTTTTTATTTCTAAGAGTATGTTCCTCATCACCTTCCAGTAAGCAGGATCAGATTTAGCATAGTGACCTAAGGCACCCCCAGAAGTCTTCTCTGTTCTTACTCCTAGAAAGAAATTAGTCTTTTCCCCTGTGGTAATCAGATCCACCTGAGAATGGGAGGAGTGAGCAGGCCTCAGTGGACTAAGGAAGTATACTCTTTAAGTGGGGAACACAAGTAGCTGTTTTAAAAGCCATCACATTTTTATCCCACCCTTTCTCCAACGAGCTCAAACTGGTGGACAATGTTTTCCCCTCCCTCTAACCTCACAGTGAACCTGTTGAAATAGGCTAGATAGAAAGCAAGCAAGGTTATACAGTGAGCCTCATGGCTGAATCAGGATTTGAACCCAGGTCTCCCAGATTTTAGTCCATCTCTCTAACCACTGCACCCTATTGATTGTTATGAAGTATCTGTCTCTGATACAGTATGGGGATTAAAGCATGTGGGTTGGTAAGGGTTTGTGTAACTGCTGTATCAGGCCTTGTGAATGTGGACATTGCATAACCACATGGGCATTAGAGTGAGTTTAGGAAAAAAGCCAGTCGAGTGTCACTTTGAGAGTAAGATTTGAGGGAATTGAAGGAGTTGACTGGCTGCAAACAGGGAAGTTGATGAGGGACATCGGTATTTTCAGTGGCTCCTCTTTGTGAACATATGAAGTAGCTTTTGACCATCATACCTTTGGCCTAGCTAGATGAGTATTGTCATCTCCAACTGGGCAATGGATCTCGAGGATCTTGGTCAGAGAAGGATCTTTTGCAGCACCTTCCACTGGAGACATTTTTAACTTGATATATCAACACAACAACACAACAAACCTTTATTGGCATAACAACAGCAGCAGCCTTAGGTATAGAGGCGGTAGGCACGCAAAACAATTCACTACCCCTTCTGCCGAAAAAGAAATTCTCCTCCTATACGCTCTGTAAAGGAAGTTTGCCACCTCTTCGATGGTATCAGCCCCGTTTGAGGCTAGAAGGTTCATTGTCTTACTTTCCTCAGATTTGCCCTCCAGGGTTTGCAGTATAGGGCCGAGGTGATAAGCGTGCAAATCCTGGTAAAATCTACAAGTCAGAAGTACATCTATCTGGGAATGGTATTTTTTTTAAATCTCCCATGTAACATGGCTGAGGGGAGGACATTAAAATGGGCCAGCGTGAATACCCTTCTAATATAGGGATCAATCAGACAGGAAAAATACTCTGGCAGCGGCCCATTAAGAGAAATCTCCCAATGAATGGGAGAGCAATGCTCACTAGCAAGGCTTCTAAGTTCTTGCATTTCTATATCGATCAATCTCTGTTTAATCATGCCAAAAGCGTACTTCTCTGAAAGAAGGATCAAATCATCCATGCTGAGCCCCATCAGTGTAATTTTCCCTTCAACACATGTCAACCAATCTGATAGGTGAGATTCGCATAGCATATAAGCGATGAGACTATTAGGCTCGCTTCTATAGAGGAGGCACAGCCAGAATTTAAAAGCTGAGAACCATGCTTTAGTGACTAAGCGTCTCTGGTTTGTCTCAAGGCATATTGCTGCACAAGGTACGCAAGTTGGGAGCCCTAGAATTTTTCTAAGAAATTTGGATTGAACACTTTCACTTTCAGTGAATAGCAGTGAACTTGCAATTTCCCACTTTCATTATACAAAAGGAAATCAATTTATTCCTGCTAAAGGAAATCAATTTGTTCCTGCTGCTCTCAAGGTGTTTAATCACAAAATATGTGCTAAATTACTCTACGATGCCCCAATTTGGAACTTGATATATCAGGAATTGAACCTAGAGACTTCAACATCCCAAGTGTTTGCTGAGGCACAGCCCCCCACCCCAGCAAAATGCTGGGACTAAGACTTTCACCTGATGGAAACAACGTTAGCCAATAAATTGTGCTTGTTTTAATCAATCAGTTGATGAAATCTGAATAAATTTGCTTGTGACTGCAGCAAAAGCTCTTTCTGGCAGGAGCTATCTTGGAAGAGGCATTCCCTCCTGCTTGAGAGCTGCGGGAATGCCTTTTCTGAGACAGGTTCAGCCACCTGCAATTGTATTTATAACTAATGGCCAATTAATCTGGGGGGGGGCATCTTTTTAGTTGACTGGCCCTTGCTGCCCAAGTTTCAACAGGTATTCCCTTCCAGAACCTTTTCCTTGCTGCCTTTGTTTGACAGCTCATGTTGATGACTTTTCAAACAAGCAGGACCTTTGTGATTAATTTTTGTTTCTGCTTTTAGTGCCACAGCATGTCCAAGTTGCTTCAAATCAGCAAAAAACAAACAGGTAAAGTATTTCAGTGGAAGTTCCCCTCCCCCTACCTTTTCTTCATTATTCATCTTGGCAGCAGAGCATAAACTGTGAAACCCCAAGTGAAACGGATATTTTAATTAACATAGTGTGTAATCAGTGGAAAGATCCATGTGAGTTTGGCTGGCCATTTGGGGTATGTACTAAAACTGGATATTGGACATTTTTGATCAAAGCCAAACTTTATATATATAATTTATCAAAGCCTATTAACCATTCTTCCTTAATAAAACACCCAAGTCAATGCAAACCAGAACAGAATATTACAGAGCTGACATCCAGTGGTTGGAGAGAAATACCCATGCTGCCTACTAAATTGAATTGAATTTTTAAATGTAACATGCCTGCTGATATGTACTATATTATTTTTCTCTGCAGTCCATCTTCACCAGAATGGCCGTTGTTAAGGCTTTGGAGTTGATAGATGATGATGATTTTCTTAAGTAAGTCTGTGTTAGCTTTGGAGTTGGGAAATATCCATTTAGGATCAAGGCAAGAAGAAAAATATTAAAGCAGAAAGCATGTTATAAGGTTTGAAGTAATTAAACAGAATGAAATCCCCCACAGAGGCAGCTTTTGTCTATGCAACTCTTCATGCTGCGTAATTTGTTATAATTTTGAATGTGGTGGGGTGTGCTTACATGTGCATTGATCACCCTGCATTTCAGATGTGTAACAAGATTTTTACCTTTTGGCAGTTGTTTATTTAGCATATCATTTACATAGCATATTTATATTCTGCTTTTCTCTCCAATGGGGATCCAAAGCAGTTAACAGTATGCGAAGAGAAAGAATACACCAAACAAGAAAGGAAGGGGAGGCTTTCATTGGTCAAGCAGATCTCTCTGCCGGCTGATCTTCTGCCTCTAGGCTAGACACACAGTAAAATTGCCATTTTACTATTAGGAATGATGTGCTGAAGCAGCAGATCTGCATAGTTAGTGATTCACACAGACATTCAGGAACTTGATCAGCCTGCTCAACACCTAGCAAGCTATAGTACAAGGCTAGTAGAGTGCATTCATCCTGATAGCTCAGGATGACTTTTGAGTCAGTTATTCTGCTGCAGAGAGACTTAAGCTTTGGCAAAATTTTGTTGCTTAGCTATTAAGAAACGTAAACTTATTTTAGCTGAAAAAATTATATGATTCTCTTATTAACATTATTTTATTTTGCTAATTTTATTAACGTTCTCTTGTTAACATTTTTATACTATTCCCATGTTATTACTGTTTTAATCCTTCTTATATCAGAATTGTACTTTTTACTGGCTCTTGCTGCAATAAATTAGATCGATCAATCGCCACAGAGAGACTCTTGTTAACTGTCCCCAGTGATTTGCATGGGCATATATTATGCTATAGTGTAGCTATTCCTACTTAATGGAACCCTCCAGTCTGCCTGGACTATGGCAGCAAGTCCAAGTGAATAGCAAAATGGCATTCTAGTTGTCTGTTGCCTACATCTAACCATTTTGGACATGAGAATTTCTGTCCTGTGGGTTTTTTAATGGATTATTCTTTATATCTCCTATAAAGGAACTTTCAAAGCCCTCCAAGTTCACCTAAGACTCCTTGCACAGCTGTTGACATTCAGTGTACAAATGGTGCAATCTTTGTGGCTGGTAAGAAAAAAATCCTTTTTTTCCCCTTGATTTTAAACATCCCAGTACTCCACATATTCCCCCTGCCTTTGTGGCATACCCTTCTCTCTCTGGGTTCTCCCTCTGATCTAAACATCAGCTTTGATTAAGTAGGGATCTGACTTCTCATATAATTCAAGAAAGTCATGTAATTATTTAAGTTACTTTTATTTTGCTTCATGAGTCACGACTATAGATGCAGCCTCATTGCTGGCACTAAGGAGATCTGAGTCTGGTTAGTGCCAGTATGGGAGACTGACTTGAAATCCTGTGTAGGTCACCTTGGGTTTCCCAGTGGGGAGAAAGTGGGACGTTGATGTGTTAGTAGAAAAATGCAGATGAGCTCAAAATAAATAATGTATTTACTTAGATATTTTTATCCCATTTTTCTCCTGGTCTGAGAACTCAAAGCATCTTACAAAATGAAGCATACACAAAAAGGACCAATGCAGTTTAAATAAAGACACACACCCCAACAAGAAAAGAGACATGTGCGTTCTCCCATCCCACTGCTGTCTGCTTGAGATCCTTCCAGGGAAAGCGGCCGTAGCACTTCCTGAGCCCCCCACTTTGGATTCCCCCCAGGGAAGAAGGTGCCTGGGCTGCCCAGTAACTTGAGTCAGCTCTGACAATAGCCCATCGTTCAACAACATGTAGACCCTATCCATGCCATTATGCCCATAACTTACATCCACATTATACTGATTTGCTGCAGCCCTCTGCTTCATGTTTCTGTTTTCATAGTGCTCTTATATTCGGAATAATTGCCCATCCCCATGTTGAATTAATACCTGTTGAGATTGTTTAGGATAGCTAATGCCAATTAAATACAGCTGAGGGAGTGGTAGAGATGCTAATTGTGATGACTGACCTTGAATTCCATGGTACAAGGAACATGAGATAGAAATGTAATTACGATGTAAGTAAATAAATAATTGACCTCATTGTGCACATGGATTCCCCATTTCAAGTGAAAGTGTTTTTTGTTTCTTTTGCAAACCCTGAGGATTAATAATACATCTTTGTTCTTTGTTTTTTTAAACAGGAAGATATAACAAATACTCAAGAACATTACCTCAGACGCCCTGGATTATAGATGGCGAAAGGAAGATGGAGTCTTCTGTGGAAGAGCTGATCTCAGAGCATCTGATGACCACTTTCAAAGCAGACAGTGAGTGCTGGTGTTTTTGCACCTGGGTGCATAAGAACACATGCTTCTTAACCAGAGCTGCCAGTACTCAGTGCTTAAATATATGTTGGATGTGTAAACTTGTTTTAATTATGCATTTGTGTGTTGGTTTTAGTGGCTTTTAAGATAATGTTTTAATTTGTATGTTTTAATTTGTTAGATGCCTGTGGGTGCAGAAAGGCGGGGTAAAAATCTTGTAGATAAACAAACTGTGAGCCTAAAATACTTATAGAGCACCCACCCCATGTGATTTTGGGGGGTCAGAGCAGCCTCATGGACAAAACACCATGCAGAACAGGAAGGAGAATCAGGTGACATTCCCTCCTTCCCCTCTTGTGCAAGTAAAAAGCTTACTCAGTCATTTGAAGAGGGATGTGGGGCTGATTTCACCCAGTTTCCCCCTCTTCACTGTAGCTGTTGGAGCAGCTCCCCCAGTCCCTCATAACTCTGGGACTAGAGAGAAGTACACGTATGTGGCCATTCATACGTGCACCCCCAGCTCTGGGCCTTCTGGGACCTGAGTCCTTTTTATACACAGACTGTAGGATGGTGTGGTATTTTTCACCATAGAATAGAGACAGGTGTTCTTAAAAAATTGTCTTTTTAACTACAAATGGATAGGTTAAAGGCAAAACAGAAAGTCGGCAATTAAAAATTTTGGCAAGGTAAACTAAATACCTGAAATATCTACTTCTGAAGTTCCTAACTCAACAGTTGCTAAAATCTTTGATAATTAAGGTGCCCGACTCATGGGTAGTCCCCGAGAGATTTGTGTGGTTGTGTGCATGTCTGTGAAGAACATGAGAGAAGGAAGGCTGGATGACGGAGAGAGAATGAAAGATCGTGCAAGGAGGAGGCTTGGGGATCTGAGAGGGAGAGTTATGCTGGACAAAAAGAGGGCTGACAGGAATTAGGTTACGAGGGCATCTGGAGAGACAAAGGGAGGCTCTGTGGCAGGGACAGGAGCTATGTTAGAGCAAAATATGGAGGAAGAGGGTGGGGACTGTGGGCCACGGTGAGAGAAAGAGGGAGAAAATTTAAAAGGGAGGAGTTATATCATAGCTACCAGTCTTAGTGGTGGAGGTAAGGGTGGAGGGTCTCTTGTGACCATTTTTGGAGTCAAATTAAACCATTGCATTTGCTAGTTTCATGCTTCAGGAAATTATTTCTTTGGCTAATATTTGTTTGGGACAAAGGTAACTGATCTGATATCGTGCTGATACCGTGGTTAACTCAAAAACAGTGATTGAATTTTTGCTTACAGATGTGCTGGGACTCAGGACATGAGTTTTTGTCCTTATAATTAACTCAGGAAGGAGACCAGTTTGCACTCTTTGAGGTGTTAGACACTGTCTTAAGAATCCCTTTAAGTCTTCTATAATAGTTATCCTTTGTTGTCACAAACACTGAACATTTTTTGTTCCTGGAATCTGAAGTGATCTTAGCAAGTTTGCTTTTAGGATGAGCTTCCTTGCAAACGGTACCTAGAAATCTCATTTTTGCATTTTAATGAATTTTGGCAATTATTTCCTCTGAGTCTGATCAAGCTGCATCTTCCCCTTGGCCTTTTGGTATCTGTTATCTAAAAGCAATTTTTTTGGGGGGGGGTGCCTTTAGTTGTCCTTTTTATGTTCTGGAGCAGCCTGAGACTACACGACTGTAGGAGTGCTGGCATAACACCTCCCTCCAAAGTTTCATTTCCACATCCACCATGTGCATGGCTCTCTGTCTACCTGTCTCTGAATCCACACAGTAGCTCTTCTGCCACATGGACATACAGTGCCCATAAAGCCCCCCATCCCACAGGCCCAATGAAAAAACAATGAGGGAAATATCAGTGAACATCCCTGACAAACAGCAAGTGATGAAATTTTTTAAAAGTTGCATACTGTTTGTGTATGTACACGCACATTCACATGAAGATATATGCATGTGCCCACATGGCCAGTTTAACCGAGAAGGTTAATGTACTGGCCCACATTCATGTACAGTTAGCATGCTAGCGCAACTGTCTTCTGGATCATGGAGTGTTTCTCTGTGTACATGCTAACAAGTCAGCATCTCCCTTCTCTTAAAAAAAAATGACCACATTAGCATGCAGAATAAAAAATCTGCCCAAGTCTTGTGATGGGGACCCCTTGGCAGCCTGTGCTATCTCAGCAAGACCTGTTTTAAATGCAAGCACCCCTTTTGCCCTGCTGTGTGCAACATGATGACCCTCAGCACTGATGACCCCCACAGGTGTTTTGCTGCTGTAGAAGTAGCCAGTGAAATGACTTGGTAGGAGGCTCAGAGCAGCAGCAAACTTTCACAGTGGATAAACTGTGCACATGGGGTCCAGAGCATGGCTGAAGAGCACCTATAGCCCCATTACAGCGCCATGTGGAACCCTTTAAACACGGCTCAGGACCGGAGATCATGTTGAAATCTTACCTGGTGTCAGTAAGGATGTGAGTTCAGTGGCCATCTCCTTTCTGCTTTTAAGGTTTTAACTTTTCATCCTCTGGAAGAGAAGATGTGGATGTGAGAACACTGGGCAATGGTAAGCTTATCTTTCCCTCTCTGCATAGTTTTAAGACTATTTTAAGCTACCGTAGGGCACTTTATCCTCTTGCCCTCCAACTGCTGGAAATCCAGTGTAAGGTTTCACCAGAAATTGGCCACACACTTTCAGGCCTATTTTAAAGCCTACAAATGAGCTGTATTAAGATATATACCAGGATGCCACATTCTTTATCCAGGAACTAATATTGCACGATTGTAGGATGTGCGCTGCCCTGTCTATCAGAGACATCTCCAGAGAAAAGCAATTTTGTGCATTTATCGTAATGCTTCAGCAGTCCAAACTCTACCTTGCTTCATTTTTTGTCAGATTCTGAATATTTCTTTGCTGAACTATCTGAGGTGTTTGCAGAGTTGTGAATGGTTTTTTTATTGATCTGAATATTACTTTGCAATCATCCCTATTCCCCCAATTGTTGACAGGAAGGCCCTTTGCGATTGAGCTGGTGAATCCTCGGAGAGTGCATTTGACTGCAGAGGAAATGAGGGCACTTCAGCAGGTAAACAGGTTGCAAGTCATGATAATCTTGCATTTGAGCCACCAGATCATTTTAGTGCAGTGCATTGTGGACAAAGCTTGATTCCTCTTCCATAACGGAGTACATTTTCTGGTTTTGGTAGTTCTTTCCTGCATTTTCTTTCCAAATGAAGTGGTCCTTACAGGAATTCCACCTTAGGCTTGTGTTAGGCATACAAAGCTACCTTATACCAAATCAGAGACCACTGGCCCATCTGGCCCTGTATTTTCTACTCTGACTGGCAGAGAAGGGTCTTTCTAATTCCTACTGCCTGAGAGCTTTGGACTGGACGTGCCAGGGATTGACAGTGGGCCTCTTCTGCAGACACAGCGTCAGCTCTGCCACTGAGCCACAACCCCACCAATTAATTAATGATCTCATTTATTCCCATTAATATCTTACTTTGGCACTGAAGTGGTGTCCTTGAAAGGACATACCTTGCTCTTGCCTGGGCTTCGTTAACAGCTATAAATTGGTGGTCACTAGTTGGCAAAGTCTTGTCAATAAATGGAGGGCTCAGGACCATGTGGCTGTGACCAGAGGTGAGTAGGCTGTCAGATAATGTGCACATTGGAGATACTGAGCTATATTTTGAGAGCTCTGAAGTGGCTTGTTTCCTTTGCATGGGTTTGATGACAGTAAGATGCAATTTAGACATTTAATATAATTTATGCATACAGCTTGCCATTTAGGACTTACATGTACATGGAAATTTAGGGAGGAAATGGAAAAAATAGACTGGCAGTGGCTCTCCACAGTCTCAGGCAAAGTTCTCTCCCAGCACCTGCTACTTGATGGAGTGTAGTGATTAGAGTGTTGGACTACGGGAAGACCCAGGTTCAGATTTCCATTCTGCCGTGGAAGCCCACTGCCGGACCTTGGGCCAGTTCACTCTCTCTGTATCTAAGCTACCTCACAAGGTGGTGGTTTGAAGATAAAACAGAGAAAGGGAGAATGATGTAAGCTGCTTTGGGGCCCCATTGGGTAGAAAAGCGGGATATAAATACCTAAATAAATAGCGTACCATAAAGCTTATGAGTTTGAGCCAACCCCAGCTGTTCCCTCCTAACAAAACAAGGCAATTGTGTGATAGCAAGCGTTGTTTAAGGGAGTTCTAACTGCTTTTCCTACTAAAGTATGAGCTCCATTACCCATGCAGGATTGTTAACTTTTTCTTCTTTTACTGTTATAGACAATTAATAACTCATCAGACAAAGTCCAGGTTCATGATTTACAAATTGTAACCAGGTAAGTGTTCAGGTTCTCAAACAAAGATTTTAAAAATAGGATTTTTTCCCCTGTGTCTAAGATACCTGGATAGCTTATTTGGAAGACAGCCCTTTGAGAACAGATAGGAAGTACAAGACAGAACTACAGTTACATAATTTGCAATCGTATAAAGCCATGCCTGGCAGAAGGAAACAATGATTGTTTGTTTATTATATTTATATATCATACCCTTAGTTGAAAATTTACAAGGCAACATTTCAACATTTAACATCTCAAAGCAGGAAAATCAAAAGAAGATTATAAATCTAAACTAATTTAGCTAAAAGTCTGGCAGCCAGAATAATAGCTTTGGTAGCCCCTAGTGAAATCTCAGATCAGAGGTGGAATCTACACAAGATCTTGATAAGTCAAGAGATCTTCAGCTCCTTGCAAGGAACTCTTTGCTCTTCCTGTAACTGGCATAAGTAGAACTAATTCAATAGGTACGCACAAGTGAGTTGCAGAACTGGCAATGTCATCCCCTGTTTATTCAGAAGTAAACCCCACTTTATTCAGTGAGGCTTATTTCCAGGCAAATGAGCATCAGATTGCAGCCTTAGGCAGGTTAAAAAACTTGGCTTTACATTAGTGCAAAATTTCAAGGTCTATACACTGTCCTATTTTATTGCATTCTGCTGCAGGATTGAGAACAAGAGTTCATCCTCCAGGGCACTTACGTTTAGGTTGGGTTCATATATCACAGACCAGCCTCAGCTTGTCAGACAGACTCAAACCTTGTCAAAGCAGCTTCCAAAGAAACAGAACAAATATGTAGTTTAGATAAGCAACTTGGGGCCACAGCCTGTAAGTCATAGGCCAAGAGTCCCTTGGCTTTTCAATCCATGCTTCTGGCCATGCCCAGGTAAGCTGCCCGCAGCAGAGGAGGAACAGAAGCTCAGCCCAACCTCCCACCTAGCTCATACAAAGGTGTTTCCAACCATCTTCCCATCTATGCAGCCCTAGTCTCTTACAAGAGCCAGCGAGGTGTCCTTTTCCCCTCTAAAAATGCTGTGTAGGCTGATCTGTGGTTCTGTCTTTAATTTCTTTCCTTGTAGAGAGGCAATTGGGCATATGAAGGAAGGGGAGGAAGGCAAGACCAAAAGCTACAATGCCTTAATATGGACAGAAAAGGAGATACGGAATGAAGATGTAGCAGTTCTGGACAGTATGAAGGTTGGGGTGCTATCTGTCATGTGTTTCCATTGGTCTTATTACAGGCAAGGGTATTGCAGTCCTCATCACAAAGGTCCGGGACCCCAGGCATCTTTGCTCAGTAGTGGGGGCCACAGACACAGGCTGTAGCTAGTGATGGACCAGCTCTACCCAGCTCAGTTCCCTTTTTAATTTTTTTTAATTTTTAAACATCCTCTCTCTTAATACATCCTAGGAACTGTAGTTCCCAGAATATCTGACATTAATGGTGAAGGATGGACCCCTAAGATAGTTAAGTCGGGAGTTTAAAATTACCTGACTGCACCATTGCTCATAAACTAAACATGGCCAGGCTGGCTTTTCCCCTTCGTTTTTATCCCTCCCCTATATACTGTCCTGTTTCAAATTCCCATCTTTCTGATTCAGCTCTTTGTCCCCAGCTCCACTTGACAGGACTCGAAGGGCTTATTTTCTTTAAAGCCCAGTCCCGTGCACAGTATTAGGTGGGGTGTGAGCCAAACCCCCTTCAATTAGCAGATTTGGGGCATTTCATTAAAAGGCAAGAAGTTGTCAGTTGTTGAGTGTATCATGTAATTTTTTACACCAAGTCGGGGCAGGATTTTGATTTTCTTCAAGTACCAAAATGTCTGGGACCATCTGTGCATTTATCTTCTGTTGTGTACATGATTTACTGATTGTTCCTTTGCTTTAAATCCTTGAACAGGAATTAAAGCTTGATCAAAAAACTCCCCTTCGGGTCCTTCACCGGCGACCTCTAGCTGTCCGGGTTCGCGTCATCCACACAATGCAATCAGAGTATATAGATGAGCATCATTTCCGGCTACGTCTAAAGTCGCAGGCAGGGACGTATCCTTCCTGAGAATAAATTCCAAAAGGGACTACAGTAACTGGGGGTGTTTTATCTCACATTCTTGTATCTCCTTCCTCCATGCAAACCGGGTTATCTCATTTTATCCTCACATTAACCCTGTGAGTAGACTAATTATGCCCGGTGATCTCTTTGAACTCAGGTCTTGATCACTGCTCTGCCCAGCTCAAATCCGGCATACTGAGTACAGCATACTGGTTTATGTGCTTCCTGCTGTTTTCCAGCAAACATATGAAGCAGGCCTTTACTGATTCAGAGCATGCAGTTAGTATGAACCTCAATTGCAATTTACATCTTTGTGTCCAGTTGAAATATTGGGGCTAAGAAGAAGAGTTGGTTTTATACCCCGTTCTTCACTACCCGAAGGAGTCTCAAAGCAGCTTACAATCGCCTTCCCTTCCTCTCCCCCAACAGACACCCTATGACATAGGTCGGGCTAAGAGAGCTCTGAGAGAGCTGTGACTGGCCCAAGGTCACCCAGATGGCTTCATGTGGAGGAGTGGGGAATCAAATCCGGTTTCCCCAGATTAGAGTCCACCACTCTTAACCACTACACCACGCTGGTAGTGCTGTAGCCCCACTTCTGGAACTCCCTCTCTGTCTTGTCAGCCTTTGAGTGACTGGTTGCCCTGAGGTCAGAGGCAGCTACAAATAAAGACAATCCAGCATGTATGGAGGGGGCCTGTGTGATTAAATAGGACACCCTAACCTCCTTAAGTGGAAGGACTGGTTGGGAGAGTAATTAATAAATAAACATTTGATTTTTCTTGGGATTGGGTGTTGCTTGCTTTGGTACAGACTTTTGATTTTCTTTAAAACTGCCCCTGCTGCCTCTGATCTAATGCTGTGGGTAAGAGTGGAGGTCCCTAATCTTTTTGAGCCTGCTGCCACTTTTGGAATTCTGACACAATGTGGTGGGTGCAGGCAGAAAATGACTGCCACAAAATGGTTGCTGCAGGAGGTGGAGCCAGCCACAAAATGGCTGCTGCAACTTACCTGCAGTCACAAAGTGAAAGTCCTTCTGCTGTGGTGGCAGCTGCTGCCAAAGCAACATTTTTAAAAATCTACACGGCCAATCAGATCTCCAGTGTCCATTCAGAAGCCTTGCCGGGAAAAAGCCCAACCAGACCTGCCCACTTTTTAAGCAGACTTGGTGGGCACCAGAGAAGGTGTCAGGAGGCACTGTGGTGCCCATGGGTGCCACGCTGGAGACTCCTGTTGTTAATACCTGATTGAACAAGCTGCACACCCCTTCCAAAATCACCTGATTGTCACATCACCTCCTCCTCCCCCACACCACCCTTGTGGCCCTTTCTGTTTCTTTTCAGTTTTGCCGCTTTATAAGTTTCTTAATAGAAGATACAGTTACATCAAAGAGTTTGTGCATGGAGACTTTGGAAGGACTAAGCCCAACATTGGCTCCTTGTTAGGGACGACTGCTGACATCTTGGAGCTGGATGTAGAAGTGAGTATTTCATCCCATACTACTTCAAAGTGAGGGTAATGGGATTTGCTCCTGGTTTGGAATTAAGGCCACATTTGAACAGGATTCTTTTCAGACCTTCTGATCCACCAATTCCTAATCCCTGCAGAACCCATAAGATCTCTGCAGCTCCCCTTTCCCCAGTCAGTATCCATACAAGGAGAGTTTCAGAATGAATGTTGGTGCTTCTTCAAGGAGCAGACACATAAATGCATTCTGTGTGCTGTTTTTCCACATATTCAGTTTCACCCTGAAAGTCCAGACTTTGAGTCTTGAGTGTAATTTATTATTGCAGTTTGTTTACTACACATACACCCTTCAAGGAGCACCTGCTATCTTACCTATAGATCTCATGTGGTTTCCCATCCATGCCACTTGTAGGGTGAGACCTGCTAAGCAGCTACAGGAATGGAATTGCATCATATGCATTCAATAACCCTTCTCAGTATAGAAATACAAAAGTACTAAGAGCAAATTACTTCTCCTGTTCCTGATTTAATTGGATTTTCCCCCTTTCCCTCTGCTTTTATAGTCGGTGGATACTGATTGGCCTCCTGCTTTGGACAATTAATGAATGATTAATTTTCAAGATGGGAAAGTGAAGAGCTGTCGTCCCACCAGCTGCTGGTTAGAGCACAACCAACCCTATTTTGTGAGCCACTGGCTTCGCTGACTAATTGTTAATACATTTTAGATCATGTTGATCTGCCAAAGCTTTTTTTAAAATTATAAATGGTTATTTTTAATTGGCTTTAAAAATTCAGGATGAATGGTAATTTGGATTTAGAGCCTCCTTCCAAAAGAGAAAGGTGTCATTCTTACATGAATGAAGAGGTAGGATACAGCCCAAAGTAAATGTAGACTTGTCTAGTGCTGGATCACTTCTCAAGATAAATGTTTCATATGAAAGGATGAGAAAGGGAAGATCTGGAAATCAGATGTTTCATAGGCAAAAATGTACCACTCATTGAGAAATACCACACATACCTTTCCTCACAAGGCCTTGGCAACCTTGGTAGGAAAAAGGAGAAACTTCTCTCCATCCAGTAAAATAAAAGCTTTTTTTTTTAAAAAAAAAATCTGTTTCCTGTGTCTGCAGCACTTAAAGCAACAGCCTAATCGTAGCATATTTTTTTTACATTGAACTGCATCATCACCTCCTGCCATATTGCAGGTATAAGGACTATTATACTCCAAAAATGCAAATGAGGTGTTTGCAGGATGATTCCTTGGAGTAACCGTAGCAAGTCTGTGCCAGGGAGCCGTAGCACAACAGCTGCAGACTTGATCCCAGTGTTTGGAATTATTTACAATGCAGACTGGTTGGACAGCTTTGCGGATTTGCATGCATTCCCTGCTTTGACCTGTATGCTGAACCTGTGCAGGAGTTTCACTGTGTTCAGTGGAGCTTATGCACAGGTAAGTGTACGCACTCCATATAGCCTTATCTCCCATTAAACGAAGAAGAAAGCTGTATGCACTGTATTTGGAGGTCTTTTAATCATGATGGAGCTATTTGTATCATATGGCTTCTGGAGGAGGCCATAATATGAACATGACAAACTTGTTGTCAAGGGGGCCCCTTTAGAGTTGTTTGACTGTGATGTGGTGTTTAATGCCCCCAAAATAATGGGGGATCATGTGAAACTACATAGGAAATTGCAAATTTTTGTCACAACTTGTTACCAAAAAACCATCCAGAACAGTGTTTTTTAAAAAAAAGAATAAAGAAAATAAATCTCTCTTTTTAAAAATCCATTCTTAAATGATGTTCTCTATATTTCTGACTGCAAACTACAGATCATAGGTTCTCGTTACAGCCACGCAGAGTCTGCTGGGGGGGGGATGAAAACTGAGTTGCCAGGTGTGATGAAGTGACCTCCAAAACCAGGATGCTTAGTGCATCAAAATCAGTGAACTGGGAGATTAGGATATAGATCAAGATGGGTAGCCATGTTAGTCTGTAGCAGTAGAAAAGAGCAAGAGTCCAGTAGCACCTTAAAGACTAACAAAATATGTGGCAGGGTATTAGCTTCCATGAGTCATTGCTCACTTCTTCAGATTAGGGGTTAATGTCTCACTGTAAAGCACAGTTTAATTGACAGGCTTCTGCCTGCATGTACCCCCATCTCTCTGATTGGTCAGCGCCAGTGTCACGGCTCAGGTTTGGGTGTCACCTGATGCTGCCACCACTCTGGTTCCAGGCTCCCTTGAGAAGACTCAGAGTGCCCTTCCAAGATCTTCTGACCTCCCTTTTGGTCGAATAATAGGTGTGAGGACCAGGCAGAGTGAACAATGAAAATAGTTTATTGTATAGGAGGTCAAACAACAAAGTGCAGAATAATAACAGTACGTGGGTGAAAAGAAATCAAATGCCCTAACGCGTCTGAATATATACTGTCCCTAGCTCACTATTCCAAGTGGCACTAGACTTCTCACCCTTCCTTCAGGATGAGGGTCTCTTCCCTACAGCAGCCTCAGTCCCTTCTGGCTCTGTCCCCTGGGAAGAAGAACTTTTCCTGCTGCACCAGATGTTTTATTCCAAGCCCTCCTCTTTTCCTATTGGTCAATTTTGGCTCCAAAACCTCTCAGGGGCTTCTGGGAGTTGTAGGCCCAGCCTCACCTACTGCTAGCCAGGCTCCCTGGGCATAGTAGGCCTATGGTGGCACAGCCCAGATCATGACACACACCCCCACCAGACCAAATCATGGGGTCCTTCCCTGGATCCCCATTGATGTGGTCTGCACACAAGATTTGGGCTGTGGTTTACCCTTTCAACTTACTCAACATTAACATATAAAAACAATAATAAATCAGGAAAACAGTATTCTGATCAACATTAAAGAGAACACGACATCAGATTAATGCACTGCAGGTCCACCTGGGTCAAAGCTCTTCTCTAATGTCTTATCAGTAGTAGCAAGTCTTTCGCGGGGAGTAAGTTCTAAATTGGATCTTAACCACACCTTTGAGTTCAGAGGTTTTGGACATTCTGCTTTTGTGTTGGCTTCAGATGGATGCCTGGTTACTATATCCTGTAACCTATACAGTGCTCTTTGTCTCAAATAGTCTGAATTTAGCCCATGAAGTTCATGAAAAAGCTCAATTAGGACATGAGGGTGAGCTTCGTTTTAAGATATCAATGTAGCTACTTCAGAATAAATGGTGTTTCTCAAAGCTTCAAACACAGAAAAATCACTGCCTGTTTCTGGTTTGAATGTTTTTGTCACAGTAGTAGGATTCACTGCATTTGGCATGCTACTAAAGCTCTCCAGAGAGTCTTCATCAAATTTGCTTCTCCTGCTGGTGTCAGGTTGACTTTTGTGATTAACACTAATGGAACTTTGTACTGGCACTGCAAACTCAGTCTTGAGGAATAACTGGCTCTCTTTTCCTCCACTCTGATGGTCATTTACCCAAGTCAGCCTACTGTTCACCGCTTCCTCTTCAGGTGGCTTCACAACACTTGGCTTTTCTGCTCCAGCTGTGGAACTGCTTTCAAAGGGCTCTGGAAATACCATCTCTTCAGTTTTCCCAGTAGTGTTAGGTTCTAGTTGCTGATGCTGTTGTTCACTGGTTTGAGCAGCATAGTTTTTTCTTTCCCAGATCGGAGGAACATGCACTATCTAACTTTGCCTCACTATCCAGTTGACATGACAACTAGAACGTAAACAAAATCTTTTCACCACACCTTACCAGACCCTTACTTGATCTTGCAAGCACCTTCAAACAATGGGGCTTCCTTAAGCCCAAAAGCAAAAAAAAAAAAAAA